AAAAGAAAGACACCATCTTCAAACCGACTGATAGCTGTAATTTCAGATGGCCATCCCATCAAACCCAGGTGCCTGAAGGGTGGATGTTGTGAACAGCAGGGTAGATCTTCTTGGGGCCGAGGTACAAATGTATCCCCCAGAACCACGGGGTCCCTGGGGTTTGCTCCGCAACCTGGCTCCCCCCGCCCCAAAGCTGCTCCCCGCAGAGAAGTCTCCTGAGGGGCCCTCAGGGCAGCTCTGGTCCCACAGCCCTGCTGGGGACGCAGGAAGGGGCTCCCGTCTGGGCTGCAGCAGGTGGAGGAGGCGGCCCTGGAGGGACGCCCCGGCCTGCAAGTTCAGGTGCAGGAGAGCCCGTGGGCTGACAGCGGCTGGCTCAGGCCCAGGCCGCGGGGGTTCTGGGCACGGGCGGCCGACAGGCACTCACCCACATGTACTCGGGGTAGTCCGCCAAGCGCTCCAGCCCCCGGATGACGGTGTCCCGGTCTTCCTCCCACCTCCGCTTGCAGAACACGATCTCCAGGAAGTACCAAGTCCAGCCGATGAGGGGGACGTACAGCAGCTCCCTCTTCGCCAGGACTTTGGAACTCTGGGGGCGGGGCGGGGGGGGGCAGGTGGCGAAGGTCAGAACCCGCTCAGGCGCCCCGGACCGGCTGGGTGTCCGGGGACTTCGCCGTCAGGGAGGAGGCCGGGCTCAGAGCCCGGCCTCCGGTTTCAGCGTGACCCCAAGCACGCAGGCGCGCTGTCCCACAGGCGAAGAGGCTGGGGCGCAGGCCTGGCGGAGGGAGGGCACCCGCCGTGGCCGCAGGGCCTGGGGCTGCCTGAGGGTGACCCAGGGCCGCCAGGTAGAGCGGCTTTCTCTGCATTGTGCTCCTCGGCCTGCCACGCAGGGCCCTTACCTGACACAGCTCAGCTGGCAGAGACTCTGGGTAAGCCTTCCCCAGAGGAAATGTCAGAAACCTGAGCTCAAGACAAGCCCCGGGGAGCTGTGGGTGCCTGGACCTCAGACTCTGGGAGCAGAGGGACCAGGGACTTCATTTCCTGGGAAGGAAAACCCAGATAATAGGGACCCCCGCATGGCTCACCCCTAGCACCTCCTAGGACAACCCATCCCTCACTCCCAGCACCTCCTAGGACCCCCTATCCCTCAACCCCAGCACCTCCCCAGACCCCCATTCCCTCACCCCCAGCACCTCCCTGGGACCCCTGTGTGGCTCACCTCCAGCACCTCCCCCGACCCCTACATCCCTCACCCCCCAGCACCTCCCAGAACCCCCCCACCCCTCACCGCCAGCACCTCCCCGGACCCCCCATCCCTCACCTCCAGCACCTCCCTGGGACCCCTGTGTGGCTCACCCCCAGCACCTCCCCAGACCCCCGCATCCCTCACCCCCAGCACCTCC